GAACCAACGTACGGACAACGGCGGTAATAGCCAAATGAACCTGCTCTCCCACAATAACGATTCCGTAGCCATAACTGTTCCTAGCCCCGGTTCGTTCGGTATCGATCTTAAAGGGACAGCGATTTGCGACTTTCCTAAATTGGATGTTAGGCTCCCTTTGTCTACGTTGATCTACGTGCCCATATAAGAAAAGGGGCCTAGTTATCCACCCAACTATTAGCTTAGCTAGGGAGTATTTGTTGGGAGAGTGAGAGGAACCTGATGAATGGGTCTGCAAGGATATCAACCGTCACTTACATACCATCTTTTCTAAAACACTCCTTCTAGGTTGAAACCTAAATAATGCTTCTTATAATATCCCCGTCAAGCTAAAAACTTTCTTACTTTTATGTAGGTATCTGACTTGCTGTCTATCCATGGGGCGAAGTGTTCATGCTGTACCTAGTGAGAGTAGTACGGGCCGTCCCGTATTGCTAACCAGGGCCCAGGTAGCGACCCACAGAGATGCGATGACACCGAATATTCGTATACCGCCAAACCCATACCAGTAATCGGAGTTTTCACTCAAACAAGTCTCGGCTTATTGCGCTTGGTCAACTAGCTTGCCTTAGAGATGAGTTGCTTGATTACCTGGCAAATACCCAAAGCGTCTCGTGGCATAAGAAAAAGAAATACACACGACGGATGTTTTCTTAGCCACTGTGCTTCGTATATTCCCTGTCCAGGAATCATCCACCATTTTCAAATTCGAACCCCGGTTGATGGCTAACAGCTGTAAACCCGTTGCTATAGAACTTGATTTCAAAGTCTAAGTCAGCGTCTTCCAGAGGGGCGCGCCAGCCAAATTCTTCGAGATCAAACGTCTCCTTGGTTCTTGCTGTAAATTGTCGCTCGTAGATGTCGAATTCAATAAAGGTTTCATATTGGTAGGGTACTAGAAACCTCGATAGAGGGCGGTAGTGTCGCTCACAGAACCCGATGATATCGCGGCGGTAAGGTAAGACCTTTTGTATGTCGACTTTAGGGTCAATAGGGTTTGCGTGGTCGTGCTTTTTGGCAGGGAATTCAAATTCAAAAGTCTCTGTGTGATTTATATCCTTAAATTCGTAGACTACTCGCCTAAGAATTGTTTCAGAGTGTCTAGACCCAGTGTGGGTGTAACCAGAAGCTAGGAGAAGCGTTCTGTTACACGTAGGGTGGAAAAAAATACGAAGGTTCGACACCCATGATCTCAATGGCTGTCCATGGAGTCCTTGATGTTGTTTCAGAGGAGCTGTTGCAATCATCGACACTTTACCACCGAATTCCCATAAGAAGGCATCCCCGTTAAAGAGTACCACGGCGACCCTTGACCCTTCTGTTGCAGCATATTTGATGGGGCCAGGTAGTCTCTTGTCCAGAAACTCGTTCGTTGTGTGGTCCCATGCGACTCTATTCGATTAACTTAGACAAAAGAAGAACAGTTATATTTAGATGTTCTTACAAAATACGGTTCATAGTGCCAACCACGAGTCTATTCCCAAGGGCTAGAATCTGGAGTGTTAAGCCAGCGAGAGCACCCGTTGGCATAGTGAAAATCTTTCGCGTCCGTGCCCATAAGTTGTCGACCACCACGATGCGTGGTTTAGCAAGCCATGCTATCTTGCCACGAGAATACAGAGCAGTCGAGTACGCCTGGTCATCTGGCTCGGGGTCATTGTCATAGTGACCAAATTGCGCATAGACGGTGGACGTGTCATCGTGATCGCCGTGATACACGGGGTCCAGCTTGAAATATGATTCATGTTCCCAAGAAAATTCTTTTGTCAGACGGGCCTGCCAAGACTTCCAGCGCAATCGTCCTATTCTGTGAAGGGCGTTGAGGCAATTGTCTAGATTCACTGGATTGCCGGAGTGTTTCAATGAAGGACAATATTTGTTTGCAATAGCGCCTATTATAGACGGAGATAAAAACTTGCCACGCCATCGTCTGGATATGGCAAGGCAGCAAACAAACTCATGGAGGTCTAGTAGCTGTGCAATTTGGCCTACTATTTCCACTGGAAGCTCGCCAATAAGATCTACATTGACCTTGGAAAGAAGAATTTTTATATAGCGGTGCTCTTGGTTAGTGAGGGAGCCGCTAGAGAATAATAGACGTAGCTTCGTGAGACGTTCCAGGAGATCAACATCCCCTCCTGCAGTACTGAATGATAAGTTTCTGGGATCCATCGATAGCGAATTCTAGTTGAACGAAGTTCGCATTAAGGATAGAAAAATATATAGCTAAGGTTGTCTTGTTCTAATTTTTTTTGGCTCTCGTTCACCACTTCGCGGCTTATTGATATGATATATGGTGGTCTTGATTTTTATGACCCTTGATGCCTTCTAAATAACGAGTATGTCGTTGCTTCATCAGCTTGAGAGGCAGTTAAAGCCCATCCGTTGCATTCATTCTAGCTTCTATGTATTCCGTTAGCACTATATATGATATATGTACTTAGGAAGGCATGACTCCGCCATAAATGGTCAGATCACACATGTATATGTCAGGAGGTAACCAACAAGGGCGCGTGGAGGACGTTTCGTTGTGGCTAAGGCGGTTTTAGCTGATGCCTGATGCCTGATGGCCTGATGGCCTGATGGTTTATGTAGACTGGAATGATGAAAAAATGTATTTATTTGAGTTAGCCACTTGCGGTAGCTGTGGCTGAATGGTATTATGGCGTAAGCGTCATTCCACCAGACCTTCAGACGCTAAGCGCTAAGGTAGAAGGTAAGGTAGAAGGCATAAGGTTAGAGGTACCTACATGAATAGCCCGCCCCTCTAAAATGCACCACAGCTTATGGGTACATTCCTCACTTTGGGCGCACATAGATAGGGTAGTTACCTAAAAACAGGAAGTAGAAACCTGCGACGGGCCACGGCATTCTTCACACTAATTTCGAGCTGACTGTCGACTGTATTAGGGTGCATGTGGGCTTTGCAGGGTCCTAATTACATATGCAGCGGTTATTAGTCTCCTTTTATTTATTCATTCATTCATTCATCTGCGACCTTCGATAGTAGCCCTCTCTTTCACATTTTCTAATAAATTCCATTACGACAAGGCAAGTCATACCACCCATCAATAATAATTCTTTTTAATTGTCAACTAACCCTCTCTCTTTCGTTAGGTATATCTCGGTTATTTAAGATCACTTCTCTACCGTTCACCTGTCCCCTTCGTAATCGAAGTCGGTTGTTTTCCCCATCTTGTCTACCTACGTAACTTATAGGTAGCCATAGAGAGGGACAAACATAAGACCCCTCCTCCCTCAGTCGCTATGGCTGGCCCCGCCTCTCCCAACGAAGGCCCTACGTTCGAACCACCACAACTTCCACCTGGATGGATAGCACAGTGGGATGGTGCAAGCAAAAAATATTACTACGTTCAACTCTCGACCGGTGTCTCCCAATGGGAGACACCAACACAAGCTGCGCCGGGAAACACGCCCGCTCAAGTCAACGAGCACCCGTACGGGATACCTGGCCAACAAGAAGTCATCACGCACCCGGACGGTACACAAACTGTCAAACATCCAGACGGCCGGATGGAACCCGTATTGGCGCCCGATGGTAGTCGAGGACTCGATGGACCATCTGGAGAAAGGGGATTCGGTGTGAGTATACAAGTCCTGGCAGATTTTGCATTCCAGCAAAAAGATCGCTAACGCGGTTTCTAATCGCAGAGTTTTGCTACCAACACGTTACTGAGTCAGTTCTCTGGAGGTCACGGAAAGCCACAGAGCGGTAGCAGTCATGGTTCGAGCGGCATTGGAGGTATTGCTGGTCAATTAATTGGTGGTCTCGGTGGAAGCCAAGGTAGCAGCCTCGGAAGTTCCTCTGGTGGACATGGCGGAGGAGGTCCTAGTCAACTTGTTGGCCAACTTGCTTCGAATTTATTTTCCTCTGGCAGCAAGCCTCAGCAACCACAGAATTACCATGCAGGGCAATCACACCAACCACAACACTCATCAGGTCTCGCTAGCTCTGTGATGGGAGGCGTCGCAAGCATGTTTGGAGGAACGCATCAACCAGTATGTCGCGTTCTCGCGTTCTACCTACGACATTGAGATGACCCCAGACCTAACTAACGCGTTACATAGGGTCAGAGTTATGGCTATTCGAACTCGGGCCATGCAGGCGGATACAGTGGTCAAGCTCCTCCGACATCTTACCAGTCACCAAGTGTATCAACACCATCATATAGTGCTCCGCCTCATCAACAGAGCTCTCCCTCATACAACCCTCCTTCTAGTCAACATGGAACGCCGCAATATCCACCCCCACCCGGTCAGCATGCCGCAACATCGTATCCTCCGCCCCCTAGCCAGACAGGAGGACACCAAAATCCCTCTTATCATAGCCCGCCGCCCGGTTCACAGCATCAAAACCCGCATTATGGTGGTGCCCCATCATCGGGCCACTCTAGTTATGGACATAGTCCAACTCCCCAAGCAAATGCTTATTGTGAGTAACCCCTTTTCATGATGAATTGCCGGCTTAGTTAACATAATGACTAGCACAACAACCGCAATACACGTCACCACCACCGAATCAACCCCAATACAATGGTCACCAACAGTACCCTCCGCCCCCGTCTACGTACGGTAACCGACCGTACAATGTGTCACCTCCATCGTCAGGTACTCACGGGTACCCGGGACAACCCTCGTACGCGAACGCCGGGCCACCAGTTCCTTCGGGGACGCATCCTCATGCCCAGTCTGGGTATCCCGGTAATTGGTAATAGGAAATTTCCAAGCTGTTATTTGTATTGGCAAAGTTTCAGGCATATAATAGACCGCAGAGCTTATTTTAACCGTTCTTGGAGCATTTTCACCATATTCATTATGCTGAGAGGAATTCCGCTTTGGCATTGATCCGCGGTGGTTTATAGCATAAATTGAGTTATGGACAAGATGAAGATGTTGTGATCATATGCTCGATTGGGGCTATATTGGACCGCATTCGCGAACGCGTATTACGAGTTATGATGATTAGGACTAGGTGATGCTTTCGTTTGGATCTAGAAGGCAAATATAAGAGGCCGTGGCTGAAGTCTTTTTTACCACGTCACTGAATTTTCTTCTCGGGTGTTGTTTCTGCTGCTAGGTTGCGAATGCGTACTGAGATATATCGTGCGATAAACCACGATGCGATGGCTACCACGATAACATAGCCTACAGTTGGTAATAGTGAACGAGGAAGTAAGCCGAAGACAAAGGGATCGAGAATGATATCCACATGAACCGGTGGAACATCTTTCATTAGCGTCTTGTTCATTGTGTAGTAATCTGCCGCAGCTAGAATTTGGAGGAAAAGGACTGATGTCTTCCTCTCAGACCTTAGCGCTTGGGCGCCTCCGGTGGACCTAGATTGGGATCTAGGATCATCATCTAGAGACCGACGGAACTGTGAGTACTCTGAGAGCTTAGATAATAGTTCTGGGGTCTCTAGGAGGGTTTGTAGCTCATAGGTGGCGACTCTAAACTCGGTAGGTTGCTAAGAACTAGTGAGCTTTCCCTAGATCGAGTATATTAAATTATAACATGGTAGCATGTCTACTCACGGTTGCAGCCCAGCATACTCTCACTTCGTAACGCTGACCCTCAGTCAGCTCATCCAGAACGAGCCAAGTAGCTTTGCCATGCGGCAACGAGATATTGGGAAATTGGGCCTCGACATGGGTCCGTATCGCCCCATTAGTAGGTGTGAGGGTATCGACGTGTAAGTCGCCCAGGGTCGGATGGGAAAGGGGGATACTAGCTGTAGGTGGTCCTAAGAAGATTGCCTTTTCGGTATTGGCACATACAGCTACAATTAGCGAATATACAAGAGCAAGGTAAATTATTAGCATTATGGCCAACTATTGTTATGTTATTATGAGGTATGTATGAACTCGGCGGACAGCAGTTTATGAGTCGATTTTTTAGTTATTGTATTTCGTATGAAATTTAATTATTAATGAAGATCAGATTTCGGATGGATTGTATTGGGCAATTGCCAGCTGCGTTATTACCGCTAAGCTTAGTTTGTCAAGTTTGTCATCTGCGAACTGGTCCGTGGACTTGTGTAATAGGTGTAATAGCCGACCCCCCCCTGTCTCCTCTTGGGTAACGACGTGGTCTGTGTGCCTTCCCGAACCCCCCGAGTCCAATCCGGTCAGTCTAGGCTAGGCAACCTCATAACAAGCTAGACCGTGGCTGGCCACTAGACATGTCAACATGTCAACATTGGAACACTAATTGCTCCAACCAGGGGTGAATTTTTAATCCGCCCCCCACTTGAACTTTTAGTTAACTTAGGTAAAAAACGACCCGTCCAAAGCATCAACAGAAACTCCTTTTGACTCGATCTCAACTCCTACATACATCTCATCCACTCACATATCCTGCAAAGGGGCTATTTTTCAACCTGCCCACTCCCGATTCCTGTTCTCTCGTTTCCCTTTAGTACAGATTTTCCATTGTATCTGCCTTCAAGATGCGTGAGATCATTAGCATCAACGGTATGTTTTTCTTATTTTCCCCCTCCATAGCACGCGTTTTCCTTCACCGCATAATCCATGTCTCCCTATTGCCAGCACCTTTTGACCTTTAGATTATGGAAACGCGTTTATACTGACTACTTGTTCTGTATACAGTCGGCCAGGCAGGTTGCCAAATCGCCAACGCTTGCTGGGAGGTAAGTCTATTCCCTGCGCGGGATCTCGATGTCGCATATATACTACGCAACTCGGACCTCGACAGCGCCTTTCGCGAAACCGACTCGAGATGGAAACTAAAACTGACCTGCTTTTAGCTTTACTGCCTCGAGCACGGTATTCAGGTACGTTGATTTGAAATCTGATAGACCAAGGACCTGACTGACGCTTATCGTGTAGCCCGATGGATACCTGACCGAAGAGCGCAAGAAGGCGGACCCCGACCAGGGATTCAGCACTTTCTTCTCTGAGACTGGTATGCTTGATATGCTTTGTGGACAATAGAAAGTATTCTAACTTATTGATTCTTTTAGGTCAGGGCAAATATGTTCCTCGCACTATCTACTGCGATCTCGAGCCCAACGTCGTCGATGAGGTTCGAACTGGTACCTACCGCAGCCTTTTTCACCCCGAGCAGATGATCACAGGCAAGGAGGATGCGTCCAACAACTACGCTCGTGGTCACTACACTGTGGGCAAGGAGCTCATCGACCAGGTTTTGGACAGAGTGCGACGTGTTGCCGATAGCTGCGCTGGTCTCCAAGGTTTCTTGGTCTTCCACTCCTTTGGCGGTGGTACTGGCTCTGGTTTCGGTGCCTTGTTGATGGAGCGTCTGTCGGTCGACTATGGTAAGAAGAGCAAGCTGGAGTTTTGCATCTACCCTGCTCCTCAAACCGCTACTTCGGTCGTCGAGCCATACAACTCTATCCTTACCACACACACCACCCTCGAGCACTCCGACTGCTCCTTCATGGTCGACAACGAAGCTATCTACGATATCTGCCGCCGAAATCTTGGCTTGGAGCGTCCCAACTTCGAGAACCTGAACCGCTTAATCGCCCAAGGTATGGAATTATCTAATAGTGTTGTATTGCTAGTAGCTAACATTGTCTAGTTGTGTCTTCTATCACGGCCTCTCTTCGATTCGATGGCTCTCTCAACGTCGATCTTAACGAGTTCCAGACCAATCTGGTGCCGTACCCTCGTATTCACTTCCCTCTGGTTGCTTACGCTCCAGTCATTTCGGCTGCCAAGGCCGCCCACGAGGCCAACTCTGTTCAAGAGATGACCATGTCATGCTTTGAGCCGTACAACCAGATGGTCAAGTGTGATCCCCGTAATGGAAAATACATGGCTACTTGCCTGCTGTACCGAGGAGATGTCGTTCCTAAGGACGCTCACGGAGCTGTGGCTACGCTTAAGACCAAGCGCACTATTCAATTCGTCGACTGGTGCCCAACTGGATTCAAGCTTGGTATCTGCTTCCAGCCTCCCCAGTTCGTTCCCGACGGTGACTTGGCCAAGGTCAACCGTGCCGTCTGCATGCTTTCCAATACGACGGCTATTGCTGAGGCTTGGTCAGCTTTGTCTACCAAGTTCGACCTCATGTATTCCAAGCGCGCTTTCGTCCACTGGTATGTTGGTGAGGGTATGGAAGAAGGCGAATTCTCGGAGGCGCGTGAGGATTTGGCAGCGCTAGAGCGCGACTACGAGGAAGTTGCCACCGATTCCGTAGACGCTGAGGGAGATGCTGATGCTGAGTACTAAATTTGAGGTTACTCATGCTACGTGTCACGACTAAAGGGCATCTAATATTCTACTCCCTCCGTTGTGTCTGACCGAGGCCTGCCGCAATAGTACCCTATTATACTGAAAGCTTATGAGGAGTGCCGGTTATACTTGTGTGGCGGAGAAACGTGGTCCTGTCCGTAGGAATAGTAGTGGAGAGACAGCAGGGAGGCCTTTAATTCGATTGTGAGCCTGATAGCAAGATTAGTATACACTTTGTACATCCGTCCTACAACTTTTAATAGCAAAAAGTTCACTCGGGCATTCCCCCAAGTGCCTTCGATACCAAAATGAGAAAAATACGTGATTAATTTTCATCATTTCTGCAGCTACGTTTTCGTGTCGCTTGGTATAATCTATGCAGTGTGACAGACTCTAGACCAATAAGTTGAAAGATGGACTACTGACAATGCCACTCTACTCGTTGGTGACCTTTCACGCTATCCGCGGTTGAACCACCCTTTGGCCAATTATGGCTTCTTTCGATTGCAGCTCGCAGCGGCATGCATGTCTAACTGTCCCCTAAAACGAGAGGATCCATATTTGGATGCTACAGCGCTCGTGACAGGAAGAGAAATGTATTAAGCTGGACTGACTCATTACAAAACGTTCGCTTGTACGTCTTCAAGTCTGGTTACAGAATGAATGGCTACCTCATTTGAATGTACCGGCAGTTGAGATGAGGAGGAAACTAGAAAAGGGGAAAGCCCTTGCTTTTTTTTCCCCTTCATTTCTTTTAGAATATAAGATTGATATATATTCTCAACCTTGTTTATAGAATATTAATGCATCTAGAAATATCATCTAATTAGTATTGAGCCGTAGAAAATATTGACCTAATGCTCTGCAATGTAATGCGAGATATATACATATGTACATACATGTATTATGTATGGAGATACAGGTATATGTACCCGGGACCCCGGAGCTTTGAGGAGCTAAGCTAAAAGTGGCCCCGCATACGTAGTCCTGAAGTAGGGGAGGTAGGGGCAGTAGGGGCACCCTGTACAGAAAGGTAGACTCCAGACGCCAGCCTCCTACGAAAAAGCGTAGTTGGAGACGGAAACCTCAAAAACATTTCCCACTCACCACTTACCTTACCCTTCCTTTCGCCAAACACGGTCAAATCTCCGACCGCTTTTTGTCGCCGAAGCTGTACACTACATGCTTCTCTTGTTATTAGATAGCAATTTTATGCTAACCTTAGCACATCGCTAATTGACTTTTCGCGTGCGCCCGAAAGGTTGCTCGATATCCTCAAACGCCGAGCTCTGTCTTAAATTGAAGCCTGGGTGAGCTCGGCTGCGCAACAATGTCCGCTGAATCTAGCGTTGATGCCGGTAAGCTACGGGAACTCCTATCTATATTGCCATAAAGCAATCATCTATCATCGAGATCCTTCTTTCCGTGTAGATGTATTATAACCAACAGTGTTGACTAACGCAAATCGTCTTAACAGCCGCGCCGGCGCTTAACCTCACTCCCGAAGAGAAGCGAGCATATGGCCAACTCTTCAAACTAGCAGACACTGATGGTGTCGGCGTTGTGACGGGCGAAGTAGCCGTGAAATTCTTCGAGAAAACAAGGCTAGACTCGCGCGTTCTCGGCGAGGTAAGTTTCGTTACGCTTCTGAATATCAGATGAATACACTTGATATAAGAATATGCTAATTTGTTATGAACGCTGGTAGATCTGGCAAATAGCAGACAAGGAGAATCGTGGCTTTTTAACACCTGCCGGCTTCGGGATTGTCTTGCGACTCATCGGCCATGCTCAAGCTGCACGCGAACCAACCCCTGAACTAGCTCTTCAGCAAGGCCCCTTACCGCGGTTCGACGGGATTACCATCAGTGCCAACGTCCCCCCTGTTCCACCACCTATACAGGCCCAGGGGAGTGGCAGCGGCCCTATACGGATACCACCTCTGACACCCGAGAAGGTCGCCCAGTATGCTGGATTATTTGAGAGACAGAATTTGCAGAATGGAGGTATACTACCAGGTGATCAGGCGAAGAGCATCTTCGAGAAGTCCGGCCTACCCAACGAAGTTTTAGGACGCATCTGGCAGCTTGCCGATACAGAGCAAAGGGGAGCACTTGTAATGACGGAATTTGTAATTGCAATGCATCTTCTCACTTCTATGAAGTCCGGTGCTTTGAGAGGTCTCCCAAATATTTTACCAGCCGCGCTCTACGAAGCTGCTACAAGGCGCGGTTCGGTGTCAGGACGGAGCCCTACAACTATAGTCCCGCCTGTACCCGCTATACCGCGACAACTGAGCGGACAGGCGCAACTGCGAACGACGAGTCCGCTGGGAAGACCACCGTTTAGTCCTCAGCCTACCGGTGTAGCAGGTGTAGCCCCTCAATCGACTGGAAGTGACTGGATAATCACTCCTGCAGATAAGGCAAGATTCGATCAATTTTACGCCGACTTAGATAAGACGAACAAGGGATTCATCACTGGAGAGGAAGCTGTTCCGTTCCTAAGTCAATCTAGCTTGCCTGAGGATGCGTTAGCCCAGATTTGGGATCTTGCAGACATCAATTCAGAAGGCCGGCTAACGAGAGACACGTTTGCGGTTGCCATGCACCTTATTCGCCAACAGCGAAGCAGGCGAGATATGCCACTGCCCACGACCCTGCCTCCAAACCTCATCCCTCCGTCCCTGCGAAGCCAGCAGCGTCGTCCCCCGGTCGGCCCGTCTCCGTTCGATGTCCCAGCTTCCCCGACGCAGCTACCACCTCAACCCCAGCCGATACCCCAGCCGATACCTCAACCGATACCTCAGCCGAAATCCGCCATTGACGATCTATTTGGTCTTGACGCTTCCCCTAGCCCTGCTCCGCCCCAAATTCCAGTATCAACAGGAGGTTCAGCAGCTAGAGATCCATTCGCCAGTGGACCGCCAGTCTCCCCGCTTCGAGCTTCCCCTACCGCTAATACATTCAAGCCCTTCGTTCCGTCTTCTTCCTTTGGTAGAACTTTGACATCTCATGATACCGGGGGATCGAGCGGTTCCGCTCAGCTTCCAAGGGGACCTGCTCCTCCTATCGCCGCTACGGAAGATCTTCTTGGAGACAATGATCCTGAAATTAGCAAAAAACTCACAAATGAGACAACCGAGCTAGCCAACCTGTCTAACCAGATTGGTTCGTTGTCGAAGCAGATGCAACAGGTTCAAGGACAGCGTGGCTCAACACAGAATGAGATTAACCAGGCGAGCGAGCAGAAGAAGAACTTTGAACAGCGCCTATCTCAACTACGCGCATTATACGAGAAGGAAGCTCAAGATGTCCGGGCTCTAGAAGAACAACTTAGGAACGTGCGCGAAGAGACCAAAAAGCTTACTAACGAGTTGATCGTAATCGATGGCACCTACAAGGACTTACAGAACCAGCATCAGCAAATCGCCCAGGCTCTCCAGGCCGATCAACAAGAAAGTGCAGCTCTCAAGCAACGGATCAGCTCAGTTAATACTGAGATTGCGCAATTGAAACCACAGGTGGAAAAATTAAGGTCAGAAGCTCGGCAACAGAAAGGAATGGTTGCCATTGGCAAGAAGCAGCTTTCTACGGTTGAGGGTGACCGAGACAAGCTAAAGAGCGAAGTGGAGGATCTCACAAAGAGCAACGAGGAGCTTTCCCGACAGATTAACAGCAACTCTCCAGTGGCAACCTCCGCTCAGGTAGCTAGTCCAGCACCGTCAACTGCCAGCGCAAATAATCCGTTCTTTAGGCGGACTGGAAGTACAGATATAATGGGCACATTCATATCGCCTCCTGTTAAGCCGTATGGCGAAAAGTCTTTCAACGATATCTTTGGTGACTTCGGGGCCGAGAGCACTTCAACCCCTCCGATAACTGCATTTAAACACCAAGATACTGGTGGCTCAACAGCTAGCATTGGATCTTTTGCTACACCGACAAGTTCTACGCCTACTGTGAGTCTCCATCCCGCTTCTGCACCCGAACCCCCCGTCTCAACTGAGTTGTAGCAGCCTAACCCAAGTTTCGCACCCTTTGGTGAGGCGTCCGAGACCCTATCGCCTTCACGTCAAGTTTCTCCCCCCGTTAGTAGGTCTGGTGAAAGCGCCGCAACTCCCTCTGCTTCGGTTTCTACTCCTGCCCCGTTGGAGTCTGCATCCACTGGTCAAAGTTTGGCCTCGGCGTCGGACACCAACCAAAGATGGTCTCCTACGCAAAGCGAAGAGAAATCAAAGGCCCCTGGTGATGGATCTATCCCTGGCTCGTTCCCTGACGAGACCCCCACAGCCCCTGCTCCTACCACACCTTACGCTAGCAAAAGGGACAGCGACCTATTTGTGAACATGAAAGATTCTGGAAATGCGAAGGTAGATTTTGATTCTGCCTTTGCAAGCATGGGCAGTACTTCGGGTAAGCCTCAGGAGAAGTCGACTCAGGACAGCTCCAAGGTATTCTCAACCTTCAACTCAGAGTTTCCTCCTATTTCCGAGCTTGAGAGAGATGATGAGTCAGACTCCGCCAGCGAGGGAAATCGGTTTGACGATGATTTCGCACCCGCATCCCCCGCCGACAAAAAGACCGAGGCCAGGGAGCTCCAAGCTCCGGCTTCTCCGGCAGCCTCAAAGTCTAGCGCTGCCGTAACTGATGGCCAAGCCGCAGAGAGTGTAGCTTCTGCGTCTCATGCTTCCCACGCGTCCAGGTATGACTTTCAATTTCCATTTTCCAATGCATTGACTATTCAAAGCTCATAATGACGCTAATATCGGATCAAGTGACTTACCAAATTTCCCTGAGCCGCCGAGAGCCTCTTCATCTTTCTCTTCCCCATCGGGGACCGGGGAATCATTTACCCCTACTCCAACTACAGTAACAAACACAACCACTACTGCGCATAAGAATGCGTTCGACGACCCCGATGACGATTTCGCCGACCTCGAAGACGCTAAAGAGGGTTCAGCAGACGATGAGTTTGCTAACCTATCTAGATCAAATCTTGATGATTTCAATCCTGTGTTTGATAGCAGTCCGCCTCCAAGCCAGCCTAAGAGCGAATCGACTAATGTTTCAAACGCATTCGGTATTGACAGCAGCTATGATTTCGGCACAGTCTCATCTACATCAGGTGCTACTGCTGGTGCCGCTCCGACTAATAATACCTCCTTCCCCGGCCAAGCTCCCGCAGCACCAAACAACCAAGACTGGGAAGCTCTTTTCTCTAGTTTCGATTCACCGAGCGACTTGCCCGCAAAGAACAATGAAGATAACAAGAGTCCCGTTCAAAGTCCAAGCTCAGGTAGACCTAGTACCGCAGGAAGGGCACTGAGTGACGAAGGAAAGCATGATGACCCCATCGTTAAGAACCTTACTGGTATGGGCTACTCAAGGACGGACGCGGTGAATGCCTTAGAGAAGTACGATTATAATCTCGAGCGGGTAAGCTGATATTTCGACACTGTCTTGCGTGGAACTGGGGGGCACTAATTCACTACCTAGGCTGCAAACCACCTCGCTAACCAGTCCTAAACCTAGGTCTAACATGCTAGAAACCAATTTTGAGGCAGAAGATGGATGACTCTTTGTTTTGATTCGTGAGATACCTCATTTGTATAGGCGCCGAGCGTGTGGGACCTTTGGAAGTTTGCCAAACCGAACTTAAGCTAAGATGTGAGGCTCAATATGGAGGAGCCAACAAGGCCTGGCAAGTTTGACAAAAGGGCCGATGACTAATGTATAGTTCTGTATGTAATTCTTTGTCGTGAATACCTATATGCTGCCTCTACAGGTCAGATACAGTTTCTTATTAACGATCTACTTTAACCCTCATATTATACTTAATAGCATATCGAGTAGCATATATCAAGTAAACCCCGTGATTATTAGCTATACAGGCACCTAATCCATCAGGTTAGTCCGTCTAATATTCCCTTTTAGCGAACAGCAGCGTTGGAATAAGCCGGGAGAGGCGCAAGTTCATGACGCAGTTGAGCCGGTGGCATCACCAACTGTTCGTTTCCGCTTTTCATAATACCCTGTTCTTCTTCATCGATTTTCCTATAGAAGCTACCGCCTACCTTCTTTGTATCACGATCCGTCTTACTTCGTATCTTCCGGAAAGCCCATATAAATACCTGAATTCCCGTCGCATACCTGAAGGCCTTCCACGCCAAGCGGCCGAATAGACGTAGGCCAAAGCGCGGGCGTTCACTTGAATGTGTGCCGATGTAATCTTTCGCCCATAGTTAGTTACATTCAAGATAGAGTGCGTGGGATCAGAACCTGTCCGGAAGAAGTGCACGAGCAATGTGATGTAGGCAAACAACCACACGACGCTGAAGATGATGATAAGCCAAGCCCACCACACAAGAGAACCTCCGCCTCCGCCGCCGCTACCACTACCGCCTTTATATCTAAATCCGCCACCACCCTTTGGGACACGGGTATCGAGGATACTATCCATAGGCTTTTTTATATATGCTTTGGGACCCGACAGGTACGTATGCCGATCAGGTATAGTATACAGTAGCAGGTGTAGCTCGTTTCAATTGATAGGTTGTGTTTGTTGTAGCCTGTAGGGTTGAGATGGGATAGCAGATGAGGCTTGCAATGCAGTCATGGCAAAAGAGGGGGTGCGTGGGTGGCCGGCTTACCTGCGAATTATATCGATCCCGTCGTGGCGGAAGTAAGCCTTGCAGTTCACCCAACCAGAAATCATGACGGGACTGGAGGTTTCATTCAACCCTTGCTCTGCTGCCATAATTATGGTGGACCATTAGTGCAACTGTGCCAAAATCAATAAAATAGGTCGGAATTTTCTAAAAAAGATAATATAGCAAGGAACGCTAAATGCACAGTACACTATGCGGGGTATATACAAAGTAAAATCCGGGCTACTATTTCCATTAAAATTTAAATTTAGCCAATTAAATTAAATTGTTAATTTAATGTTTAATTATTTTATATACCCACGTATAAATAATATATTTAAATAATTTTATAATAATAATAATTTAAACGTTATAATTAATATTATTTTATAATTTTAATTAATATAAAAATAATAAATTAAAATGTATATTTATATAATATATATTAAATATTATATTATTATTAAAATATTTAAAATTTATTTAAAATAATTTTATTAAAATGTTTTTAAAAAATATTATATATTTATTTTTTTAAATATTTATAAATAAATATTTGTTGGAAAAATAAAGTTTACATGTAAAAAGCGGTATTTAAAATAAGGGTATTTTTAAAAGGTATTGTATTATTTATTATATTATTGTTTTAGTAAAAGTTATGTTTATATGGCCGATTGTTTTGTAAAAGTGTAAATGGTTAATTAAAGTTAATAAATTTTATAATTTTACTTATAAATTAATGGGTTGTTATAAAATAACCTTGCGGTTAAATAGTTAATTAAATATTATTTATTAATAATATCTTAATATTAGTAATTTTTTTTTTTAATAAGTAAGGCTATTATTAATCTTTTTAATTTAATTATATTTTATATTTATATATATATATTTTTTTTTTTTTTTTTAATCCATTTTTATAATTACATTGTTAAAATATTTATATTAATAAAAATTTATAAACCTTTATTTAAAAAGGTTTTTATTATTGTATTAATAAGATTATTTTTATTATATATCCAGTAAATTTTATAAATCTTTTAATATTTATACGATTATTATAACGTTATAATATTTATTATTAAATATTTTTTTTTCGTTATATTTAATTTAATAAAGTATTTATATAGTAAAAATAAATTTATATAAATTATAATAAAAACTTTAAATAAGTTTAACTTTTTAAAAATAATTATAAACGTAATATTTATAATAATAATTATATTTACCCCGTTAATTATAACATATATTTTATTTATTAATATATTATATATAACGCATTTATATTTTATTAAATTTTAATAAATTATATTATTTATAATTATAAAAAATTTGTTATTAAAGATTTTATTTATTAAAATAATTACATATTTTAATTATAATATAAAATTTTAATTATTCGCAAATAATATGTTAATAAAAATGTATAATTTAATAGTTTTTAAGTTTAAAAATAAATATTATAAACCTCGTTTCATATTATTTAATTATCATTAAAAATAACAATTTAATTTATTAATTTATTTATTATTAAATTTTTAATGTTAAGCTGTTTTTAATAAATTAAAAGTGGTTTTAAACTGGTAAATAATGGTTATATAAACGTTTTTAACGTATTGTTTTATATATTGTTATGTTATATCCGCGCAATTATAATTAATTAATATAACCTTTTTAATTTTATTTTTATAACGTAAATAAAAGTTATTATTATTATTTAATATTAAAATATAATTATTAAAAATTAATAGGTTATTTTTAATTAAATAACTTTTTAATTTAACGGTAAAATTAACTTTTATTAATTTAATTTTTTTAAAATTATTAAAAATTTTATTAAATAAATTTAATATATTATTTATTTACATTATTATAAAGCCAAATTAATCTTTATCCGCTATTATTAATAAATACAAATTATATGTAAATATTATTATTTTTAGTTTATTTATATAATAACGTGTATAAATAACCCATTAATGAATTTTAATTTTTGATATTTTATAAAAGAATTTAATTATTATTATTATTATATTTACAAAATATTAATATATTATTGTTTAAAATAATTTTATTAATATTATATATATTAATTTTATTTTAAATTACATATAAATTTATAAAATATTTTATATCCATATAATTATTTTGTTTTTTAATAATATAAACATTATAATAATAAAGATTTATTAATTAATATGTTAAATTATTAACAATTAAATTAATATATATTTCTTTTTTAAATTATTATAACTTTAAATAATTAAGTATAATTTTTTATAAAGATTATTTATAATTAATCCTTTAATCTTTTATATAATATATAAATTATAAATATGGTAATTATTATGTTTAATTGCGTTATATTTTTTAAATAAAAAGATTTTTTTATTTATTAAAGCCTTTATTTTAGCTTTATTAAAAGCTTTAAACAGTTATTTTGGCGTAATAATCTTATTTTTTTAACGTAATTTAATAATAAACATTTTATGTTTTTTTTTACGTGGCGTTATATAAACAATATTAAAGTTAATAATTTTAAGTTTATTTTTATTGTTAAAAGATTTATTACATCTTTTAATAAATGTTATTAGTTATAAAAACTTATAAATTTTATTATTTACTTTGTTATTATTATTAAGATTTAATTATATAATAAATTTTTTATTTAATATAATTATTATTTTATTATAATAATAAAGTTATATAATTATAATTTAAAAATTTATAAACTTATTATTAATCTTAATAATATATATATTATTATTTTAAATAAATAATTTATAAAATTTATTTTAACCGTTTTTTTTTTATTATACTTTAACCTTTAATTAAAATGGTAATTTAAGCGTTAATAACATATTTAAACTATTATACATAATTAAAACATTATTAATTTATTATATAATTTTTAATTTATATACTTTTATTATTACTTTTATAATAATTACTTTATATACTTTTAATAAAAATATATTTAAAAAGTTATCCGCTATTTATAAATAAACGTTAAATATTAATAAAATAAATATTAAATTATTAAAACTTATTATATCATTAATAACTTTTATAATTATTTATAAAATATATTTAAATTTAATATTAAAATAATTTATTACTATAATTTTATAAACTTATTATAATAATACGTAATATTATTTTAATTTATTAATTAAATTATAAACTTTTATAAAAACCTTTTTTAAAATAATATTTAATAACGTTAAATTTACTTTAAATTTATTAAATATAAAATTCTTATTAACGTTATAAATTAATTTATTAAAAAATCTTAAATAAATATTTATTTATATTTTTTTTAATATATACCAAATATTTTTGGTAATTATATCTTTTAAAAATCTTATTGCTTAAAAAAAGGTAATTTTATTAATTACATATAATATAAATTTAACACTTATATACATTACATTAATTATTATTAAATAATTAAAATTAATATTATTTTTAATAATAAATTTAAATTTATTAAATATTTTATTATATAATTAATATTAATGGTAATA